TTATGCAAAGTCTACTCTGCCTGGATTCTATAAACAGATCAAAGCCTGAATGACAGTACATCTGTTTACAGCATAGTTTACCGAATATTTTAAGCCTACTGTTGAGACCTACCACTCAGAATAAAAGGTTCCTTTGGAAATATTATTGCTCATTGACAAAGTACCTAGTCACTCAAGAACTCTGATGTAGATGTTCAAGGATATTAATGTTTTCATGCCTACTAACACAATATCCATTCTGCAGCCCATGGACAAAGAAATAATTTTGACTTTCAAGTTTTATATTTGAGAAATACATTTCATAAGGCTATACTTGTCATAGCTAATGACTCCTCTGATGAATATGGGCAAAGTAAGTTGAAGACCTTCTGGAAAAGATTTAGCATTCTAGATGCAATTAAGAACATGATTCATTGGAGGAGGCCAACATATCAACATTAACAGGAGTTCAGGAGTTATTGATTCCAGCCTTCATGGATGACTTTGAGAGGTTCACAACTTCTGTGGCGGAAGTAACTACATGTGTAATGGAAATAGCAAGATAATTAGAATTAGAAGTAGAGCCTAGCAAGGCACTGTGGCTCACACCTGTAATCTTAGCACTTTGGGAGACAGAGGCTAGAGGATTGCCTGAGTCCGCAGGTTCAAGACCAACTTGGGTAGCTTGGGAAGACCTTGTCTCTGTAATAAATAAAAAAATTAACCGGTCGTGGTGGCTTGTGTCTATAGTTCAGCTACTTGGAAGGCTGAGGTGGAAGGATGGCCTGAACCCAGAAGGTGGAAGTTGTGGTGACCGTGAGTGTGCCACTGCACTCCTGCCTGGGTGACAGAGTGAGACTTCAACTCAAAAAAAAAAAAAAAAGAAGAAGTGGAGCCTGAAGATGTGACTGAATTGCTGCAATCTCACATAAAACTTCAACAGATAAGGTGTTGCTTCATATGAATGAGTAAAGAAAGTGGTTTCTTGAGATGCAAACTGCTCCTGGTGAAGATGCTGTGAACATTGTTGAAATAACAACAAAGGATTTAGGATGTTACATAAATTTAGTGATAAAACAGTGGGAGGATTTGAGAGGATTGATTTTGATTTTGAAAGAAGTTCTACTGTGGGTGAATTGCTGTCAAACAGCATCATATACTACTGAGAAATCTTTCATGAAAGGAAGCATCAATGTATGCAGCAAACTTCATTTTTTCTTTTAAGAAATTGCCACAGCTACCTCAGTCTTCAGCAGTCACCACCCTGATCAGTGAACAGCCATCAACATTGAGGCAAGACAGTCTACAAAAAGATTAGGATTCATTGATGACTCAGATGATCATTAGCATTTTTTTTTTACCAATAAAGTATTTTTAAAGTGAAGAAATGCACCTTTTAAAAAAGATATGATGCTATTGCACACTTAATAGACTACAGAATAGTATAACTTTTTTTTCTTTTTTTTGAGTTGGAGTCTCACTCTGTCACCCAGGTTGGAGGGTAATGGCATGCTCCCACCCACCGCAGCCTCTACCTGCTGGGCTCAGGCAATTCTTCTGCCTCAACCTTTCAAGTAGCTGGAGCTACAGGCACGCGCCACCATGCCCATCTAATTTTTTGATTTATTGTAGAGATGAGATCTTGCCAAGTTGCCCGGGCTGGTCTCGAATCCGTGAGCTCAGACAATCCTCTCACTTCGGCCTCCCAAAGTGCTGGAATTATAGGGATGAGCCACCAAACCCAGCCTTAGTATAACTTTTATATGCACTGGGAAACCAAAAAATTTGTGACTCACTTTATTTTGATGTATTTGCTTTATCACAGTGGTCTGGAGCCAAATCCATATTGTCCTTAGTGTATGCCTGTATACAAATGCATTTGGCTTCTTTTAAAATTCTATTTTAATATGAAATATTTGATCATTGACTATTAAATATTCAGAAAATAGACTTACATTTTAAAAAATTATGGAAGTAAATATAATTGACTCAAGGTGCCAGACATGTCTAATACATTTAAGATACAAGCATATCTCAACTACAATGCCTTTCTCTTTAGTGAAATAATTCATTAACTATGTCATGAAACTTTTTGTCATAATTGCAGCTAAAAATAGAATGCATTACTTGTACAAGGTGCTGTACAAGATGTTCTACTTACCTTTAATCCTGATAACAATACTAAGGGAAATGTTCTTATCCCTATTTATGGATAAGAATATAGGGTCTTAAAGAGGTCACAGAATGTGCCCAGGATTGCTCAGGTAGTGAGCAATAGTTTCCTAGATCTGTCCAACTATCTAATGATTGTTTTTGTACCGACTTCACCCCCACACTACATAAATTTATTTATTTATTTATTTGAGTTGGAGTCTTCCTCTGTTGCCTAGGCTGGAGTACAGTGGCACGCTCACTGCCATCGCAGCCTCAACCTGCTGGGCTCAGGCGGTCCTTCTGCCTTAGCCTTCCAAGTAGCTGGAACCACAGGCACACTCTACCATGCTCAGCTAATTTTTTGACTTATTGTAGAGACGAGGTTTCACTAAGCTGCCCAGGCTGGTCTTGAACCCTTGGACTCAGGCACTCCTCTTGCCTCTACCCCCCAAAGTGCTGGGATTATAGGCATGAGCCACCACACCTGGTTTATATAAACTTTTAATACATATTATCTTTATTTATGTTTGGATCTGCTTACTAAAGAAAGGAGTGTTAAAGAAACACCTCTTACATTGCTGTAATTTTATTCTTGAGTTTTCTAAAGAGGTAAGACACAATGTTCTTCCAAAGTTAACTCTCCTTTTTTGCACCCTACACCACCCACTGAGAATCACAGCATGATCTTCACATATTTTATCTTCAAATGCTCTGTCAGCTTTCACTTTTAGCTTTAGAGACTTACTGGAGTGCATTAATGTGCTTTTCAAAATTTTCCTTGGATTGAGAGTGGACAGCTTTTCTTCACACATACCCTTCCCACATTGGGGAGCTAGAGCATAGCCCCAGGATTCCTACTGAAAACAGGAAGTGTTTTTTAAGTTTTCTGTTTTATTATCAAAATTCACAATAATAGTTTTTTTCTACTGCATGACATATACATACCTTACTGAAATTCTTTATCATTACCAACAAATACTGATTTGTTCCTTAGAAGGAATTTATTGGGTAGATATAAGGTAGCTCACAGATCTGACAGAAATCCTGGGGAACCAGATTTGGGAACTAGATAGGAATCTAGGGGAATGAGGGATTTGAAACCATAGCCAAGGTTATATCACAGGAATAGATGGTTAGGGTATAGCTAGTAACTGCTGTATATATTTGTGTATAATATTCTTTCTTCATTGATTAGTTGTATCACTGATAAGAAAAATATTGGGAAAAAGTGAAAGTAACCCAAATGCCCATCAATGGATAATGATAAAAATAAATTATGATATATGTTGGAACTGTTATAAAAATATCGTAGTAAATCTAACATATACTCATGGAATGGTATTTAAGATAGAAAAATTGGAAAAAGTTACAAAATATTAAGTTTAATATTCTTCTTTTTAAAATATATATATATTTATTTTTATTTATTTTTTTGAGTTGAAGTCTCACTCTTGCTCAGGCTGGAGTGCAGTGGCACACTCATGGCTACCATAGCCTTGACCTGCCAGGCTCAGGTGATCCTTCTGCCTCAGCCTTCCAAGTAGCTGGAACTACAGACAAGTATCACCATGCCTAGCTAATTTTTTGATTTATTTTAGAGATAAGATCTCACCACGTTGCCCAGGCTGGTCTTGAACCCACGGGCTCAGGCAATCCTCTCACCTCGGCCTCTCAAAGTGCTGGGATTATAGGCGTGAGCACCACGCACGGCCAATATATTTATTTTTATATGTCTAGGAAAATTTTTGAAGGAAATATATAATTTCCTTCAACTGATAATAATTGTCATCTCTGGGTTCTTGGGTCCTGGGAGCCCTTGATTTATTACATCATATTTCTGTAATACTTGAAAGACTTTTCTTAGTCAATGTAATATAATGAATGTGCCTTTACTAGTTGGGGCCTAATACTGTACTCGACAACTGGAATCGCTCCTTTTCTCCATTCTCTCTTCATCCTCCACCATGACAATGAGGATGCAAGAGGGATTTTCATCAGTGAATATAGCCAACTGATATTTGAAGAGTAAATAAAGAACAGATTCTAAATAACCTTACATTGTAGTTTTGTGATATCCATAGAGTAGTTATTAGCATGCGTTTATTTTTATTTGTTTATTTATGTATTTTTTTGTTTGCTTGTTTATTTATTTATTTTTGAGTCAGAGTCTCACTCTGTTGCCCAGGCTGCATGCAGTGGCGCACGGTCACAGCCACCACAGCCTCGACCTGCTGGGCTCAGGCAATTCTTCCACCTCAACCTTCCAAGTAGCTGGAACCACAGGCATGTGCCAACATGGCCACTTGATTTTTAAAAAATATTTATTGTAGAGACAGGGTCTCGCCATGTTGCTCAGACTGGTCTTGATCCCCAGCACTCAGGTAATCTTCTCATCTCCGTCTCCCAAAGTGCTGGGATTACAGGCATGAGCCACCGCACCTGGCTACTAGTATGCTTTTTAAAATTGGTTTCTGACAGTATATGAATCCTAACCCTGTTTTTGTTTTACATGTTTTAGTTCATCATTTATTATTATCACTCTTTTTGATCAAACTATCTAGTTTTACATACCAGCTTATGCTCTAAAAGTATTCCTTTTTCCATTCTTGCAGCATCCTTATATCTCTTTCCAGAAAAATTTTTAACTTTATATAAAAACTTTCTAGTAAGGTGCTTCAATTATCTTTCTTAAAATATCATATATGTATTTAAATTTGGTATGAAACTTGAAACTCATTCTAATTTGAGTATTTATAACAATTCAAATTTCTGAGTTGATGTTATTGAAAATGTATAAGACGTATTGTTATAACCATTTAAACATGTTAAGTGTTAAAGTTATAGTTTTGTTGTCTTATTTTTTTTAGCATTCCCTATCAGAAGAAGAGATTTCTATAATGAAAAAAATGCCTTTGTTTAGTAAATCACACAAAAATCCAGCAGAAATTGTTAAAATCCTGAAAGACAACATGGCCATTTTGGAAAAGCAAGACAAGAAGACGGACAAGGTATGAGCTAAAACAATAGCATCATTATTAAAATACATGCATTACAGTGCCAAAAACCAATGTAAAAGTTTAATGAAGAATTCAAAATATGGTCTGTGATGTGCCCACAGGTTCTCTATAAATACTTTTGAGTTAATGTCAAGTTTTATGCAACTGATAACTGTAGTCTGTTGTGTTGAACTTTTGGCTTCACTGACTAGAACCTCTGACTGACCCTAGAACCCTCTAGACTGCAGAGCTTAGAGATCTAAAGTGTTGTACTGTATATAAGTTTACATTGACATGCGATGTAAAAAGTTTTTATTTAAAGATTGACTAATAGTTTTTACTATAGTGCAGCCTCATTTCTAGTTCATAGTATCTTTCTGTTCCTGTATATGACACAATCTTGGATTCTATAAATTGTGTTGAAATATTTGTGTTTTAATTCTACTGTATTTTGTAATATTGGGCCAAATATTGGCTCAAATAGAAAGAGTAAATCTAAACGGTAAAGAGAGAAAAAAGAAAAAACTTTCATATATTTTCATTAGTAATTATGAAAAGGCCAACTAAAACCATAATAAATTTACATTATATTATACAACTATTGTTTTGGTAAAAATGAAGAGATCTGAAGATATTAAGTGTTAACGAGGATGGAGAGCAATGAGAATTTTCATTAACTGTGGATAATAAAGTATATACTGATAGAACTGCTTTGGAAGCCAGTTTAGTATTAACTGCAAAATATGAAGATGCACGTGTCCTGAAATCCTGCAGTTCCACTCTTAGATATAACCTCTAGAGATATTCTTGCACATGTGTCCCAGGAAAAATGTATGAAATGTTTATAGCATTGTTGTTCATAAAAAGCCCTCAATGTAAACATCACTCATATCATAAAGAAGTTGTGGTGTAGCATCAGTGGAATACTATAAAGCAAGGAAAATGAAAGAACTTCTGCCTACATGCAGCAGCATATATGGATCTCAGAAATATAATAATGAGTTTTAGGCTTGGTGGCTTGTGTTTGTAACCTAGCATTTTGGGAGGCCAAGCGGGAGATTGCTTGAACTCAGGAATTCAAGACCAGACTGGATAACACAGCAAGACCTCAGTTCTACAAAAAAGTTTTTAAAAAATGAGATGTAGTGTCATGTGTCTATAGTCCCAGCTACTTAGGAGGCTGAGGTGGAATGATTGCCTAAGCCGAGGAGGTTGAGACAGCTGTGAACGGTGATCATGCCACTGCACTCCAGCCTGAGTGGCAGAGTGAGATTCTGACTTAAAACAAAACAGCAACAACAAAAAGAAATATAATGTTGAATGAAAGAAGCAAATCATGAAAGGGTAATGTACTAGTCCGTAAAGTTAAAAATCAGCAGAACTAAGTTATATTGTTTTGGTATGCATACATAGGTAAGAAGACTATAAAAAGAAAAGTAAAGAGAATATTGTCACAAGAGACAAAAGTTTTATACCTAGACCGAAAAGGGGCATTCAGGTGACTTCTAGAGTGCTGAAAATACTCTGTTTCTCAATCTGAGTGATCATCACAAAGGTTTTGCTTTATGATTATGATTATCCTTAACTCTCTCTCTCTTTCTTTTTTTGAGTTTCACTCTGTCACCCAGACTGGAGTGCAATGGCATGATCATGGCTCACTGCAGCCTCATACTCCTGGGTTCAAGCAATCCTTCCTTCGTAGTTACCCAAATAACTGAGACTAGATGCAAACCTCCATGCTCAGCTATTTTTTATTTTTTATAGCAATGAGGTCTTGCTATGTTGCCCAGGCTGGTCTTGAACTCCTGGACTAAAGCATTCTTCCTGCATTGGCCTCCCAAAGTACTGGAATTACCGGTGTGAACCACTGCACCCAGCTCTTAACTCTATGTATATTTAAAATACTCTTCTGTGGATTTATCTCACAATTTAAGAAACTTCCCACCTTTAATAAATTGAGGATTACTTCAATCAGGTCATAAAAATGTCTGTAAAAATATTTTTTAAAGTAGTGTTATGCTACTATGAGTTATTCTTATGGAATTTACTGCATTCTACTCAATTCTCTTCTTCATTTACAATCATTACTGTACTATATCTGAAAGTATATTTCTTTAAAAATATTCAGACAATCAAATTGTTAATTAGTCTGCTCTCCTTTCCTACCTGTATTAGCTTAAAAGATTTTTTTCATTGAGACATAATTCACATACCATATAATTCTCTATTTGGAGTGTACAACTCATTGGTTTTTAGTATATTCACAAGGCTATGCAACCATCACCACCGTCTACTTCTAGAACTTTTTGTCACCCTGCAGAAACACCCTTGTAGCCCTTAGCAGTCATTCCTCATCTCCCTGTCCCCCAGGTCTAACATCCACCGATCTACTTCCTGCCTCTGTAGATTTGCCATTATTCTTTAAAATATAGTGTGTGTTTTTTAAAGTTTCATAGATACAAAAAAGACAATGATTTATGAGGAATAAGTGGATTGATAAAGTTTATGAGCTTTTACAACTTATGATTTTATACCTACTCCATTAAAAATTCAGAAGAATTGAGATTTGTGGAAAAACCTTAATAAAATGCTTTAAATAAAGGTTAGTAGCTACTGATAAGTCTTTGAAACAGAGTTTAATTTTCTTTTTTTTTTTTTTGATTTGAAGTTTCACTCTGTCGCCCAGACTGGAGTGCAGTGGCCGCTTCCGGCCACCGCAGCCTCGACCTGCTGGGGTCCAGCGATCCTTCTGCCTCAGCCTTCCCTGTAGCTGGAACTACAGGCGCGCACTGCCACGCCCGATTAGTTTTTTTGATTTATTGTAGAGATGAGGTCTCATCAAGTTGCGCGGGCGGGTCTCGAACCCGCAGGCTCAGGCAATCCACTCACCTCAGCCTCCCAAAGGCGCGGGATTACAGGCTGAGCCACCGAACCTGGCTCAGAGTTTAATTTTCAAGAGTAAAACTTTTACTTAATTACTAACAAAATTAGACTATGAGTATGGTTTAGAGGAATATTATTTCAATGATATTGACTAAGTAGAAATACTAGAGATCTTTTTCATATAAATACATTTTAGTAACATTTTCCAAAATAACGAAAGGTGTGCCTACTAAATGTTTTTTTTGTTTGTAACTGTACAGTGAACTTTGACTATACATAAACAGGGCCCAAGAAGTGTTTTCTTGGTTTGTTTATGACCTGAAAATTTTTATTCTTTTAACTGTTAACATACTTTTTGGTTCCTAGGCTTCAGAAGAAGTGTCGAAAGCACTGCAGGCAATGAAAGAAATTCTGTGTGGTACGAGTGACAAAGAGCCCCCTACAGAAGCGGTAGCTCAGCTAGCACAAGAACTCTACAATAGCGGGCTGCTGGTGACACTGATCGCTGACCTACAGCTGATAGACTTTGAGGTAAACTAGCTGTAACAGAGCGACAGGGCTGTTTTTCTTTCTTTCTTTCTGAAATTTTTTATTTTAAAGATGAGGGGTACAATTCTAGGTTAGATATACAAATGTTCATTATGCAGGTACCTTTGTTCATAAAGTATGCCCCCCCGTAGATTCCCACTATTGCCAATCCCATGGGCAATTTTTCAGTTTTAATATATACCTATCAATATTTAACTTTAACTGTTTTTTTTTTTTTTGAGCTGGAGTCTCACTCTGTTGCCCAGGCTGGAGTGCAGTGGCACACTCATGGCCACCGCAGCCTTGACTTGCTGGACTCAGGCAATTCTTCCACCTCAGTCTTCTGAGTAGCTGGAATTATTATAGAGATGAGGTCTCTCCAAGTTGCTCAGGCTGGTCTTGAACCCCTGAACTCAGATAATCTTCTTGCCTTGGCCTCCTAAAGTGCTGGGATTATAGGCTTGAGTCATTGTGCCTGGCCCAACTTTCATTTTTATTTTTGCTGTTCATATATTACTTTTAAAAGTTTTTTCTAGAATCACTTTATTTTTTTTACATGAACAAAATATACACTATAGTTAAGTTTTGTGCAGCTGGGTGGCAAAGTTAATGACTGATAATAATACTAATAGATAACATTTGTTGAGTGCTTACTATATGCCAAGTACAGTATCAACACTCAATTCATTGAATTCTTTTTTTTTTTTTTTGAGGCAGATTCTTACTCTGTCACCCAGGCTGGAGTGCAGGGGCATGCTCATGGCCACTACAGCCTAGACCTGCTGGACTTTGATGATCCTTCTGCCTCAGGCTTCCAAGTAGCTGGACTACAGGCACATGCTGCCACACCTAGCTAATTTTTTGATTTATTATAAAGATGACATCTCGCCAAATTACTCAGGCTGGTCTCGAACTCCTGGGCTCAGGCAGTCCTCTCACCTCTGCCTCCCAAAGTGCTGGGATTACAGGTCTGAGTCACTACATCCAGCTCTCACTGGATTCTTAAAACTACTTTTGTGATTAATACTATATTATTGGCCCCACGTTATAGGTGAAGAACCTAAGTTTCAAAGATACTAAGTAATTTACCCAGAGTCACTCAGTTACTAAGAGCTTAAGCTAGGATTCAAATTCAAACAGCATCTACCAAGCCACTTCTTTTAATTAACATAGTATACCAATGATTGGGGAAGTTTGCTAAAGGCTAGTAATATAGGATGTTTATCTCACTTTAAAAGCAATTATACCTAATTTACCTAAATGATAAATTGTCTAAATAAAATAAAAACTTATAAAATTATAAAGTGGTGAATGTGTGTAAGAATTTTATTATCTATTATATATCTCATTTAAATAGTGATTTTTCAGTGAAAAATGATAGATCAGGTAAGTTTGGGCATTGACAGTTTAGGTGATGGAAATCCTAGTTTGACTTTGTTGCTTTGTTTCTACCACAATACTTTTAGTATAGTGTCAGGTAAGAGCTTGGATCTCCATTAATTCTCAGAGATAGAGGAGATATGCAGATTTCTGAAGAGAATTGCTTTTAGTTCTACTCACTGAACAAGTAGAAAGAAAACTAGTTACAGTAATTACAGTGATTAGGCCAAAATAAGGTCACATCTCTGGGGATGTGTGGAAATACTAGCCTTCAATTCGCTGGGCAGGTGAGATTGGGGAAGATTTTTGGCAACTGGAGCCAGAGAGGAAGAAGACAGAGCTAGCTGTCCAGAAGATGGTCAGGTGTCAGCTGGAAGCAAGCCTGACTAAGGACTGAGGCACCCAGACTTCGACTCAGCCTTTCCTTCCTGTCTATCCTTTTCTTTTTTTTCCTTCCCTCATTGTCTCTTTCTCAGTCTTTGACATTTTCTGACTATCACCTCACTTACTTTTTTCTCTCTTTGACTTGCTCTCTTCCTCTCCATCTTAGGTCCCATCTCCTTTTTAAACTGACCACATGTGAAATTAAAGTGTAGTCTTAATTGTGTTTGTATACTTTTCTGTTTCTTTTAGTTCATTTAAAGTTAGATATTAGACATATTTGTAGAAGCTGTGGCATAGGAACATATTTGACTTGGAATTAGAATTGTTGAAAGTCTCAGGTTGCTATTCGATAGTAACTTAACCTCTTTTGGCCCAAGTTTTCTCGTCTATATAATAGGAATAATGTGAATTTACAGCATTGTTTTAAATATTAAACCAAATAACAAACAAACATATATATGTTATATAAGAATGCTAATGCACATGCAAACTATATACAGATGTCAGGTATTTTCATTTTCTGTCTTTCTCAAACTAAAGAACTAAAGTAACTGTAAACTTGTTTGCTTTTGTTGTAACCTTTTTTTTTAAGTTTTGATTTAGCTGGTCAGTGGCTATAAATAGGAAAATGATTCCCTATTCTTGTATTATATTTCTAAAGTTTACTCTTGTTTTGATCATTTCCTTGAGAACAGCAAAATGTTAGCTACTGTCATCATTATTTATACCTTGAGTTAGTTTATGAGATTAGCCCAGTTTGCATTTGCGTGCTGGCAGGAATATGACTAAGGATAGTTATGTTTTGAACCATAAGTCAGGGATGATGAGATCTTGTCAGGTGCAGTGACCTGGAGAAGCCTTGAGCAGCCACAGAACATAGATTCAAAGTGCACTCCAAGAACTGAGGAGATAGGAAGGAATACACCAGATAAACACTTGGAGTCACTTACAACTTTTTTAGCATTGGCTCAGATAACAAAAGTGAAATAGTGAAAAACAGTTAAGCAAGTTTCCCTTCTTTTATATTGTATTCCAAACATAAGTTTATTTAAAGATTCTTTTGGAATTAAGACATTTGATTACCTAGTAATCGACTTGTGCATTATCATCAAATAGAGTAAACTTCTGTTCTCTGGAATTCTTGGGGGGTGGGGGATATCTTTCTGGATATATGAATTTTCCATATAACTGAAGAGTAAGCCTTCAAATGCAGAAAGTTAAATCAATTATTTTTGTGGATCACTTTACTTTTTGGATAAAGTGTATTACACACTTGTCTTCCCTCCAGAATAATAACAATAATATATAGATATAACATGTTTTGGCCGTGTACGGTGGCTCAGCCTGTAATCCCAGCACTTTGGGAGGCCAAGGCAAGAGGATTGCCTGAGCCTGTGGGTTCGAGACCAGCCTGGGCAACTTGGTGAGACCTTGTCTCTACAATAAATCACACACACACACAAATCTAGCTAGACGTGGTGGCGTGCGTCTGTAGTTCCAGCTATTTGGAAGGCTGAGGTGAAAGGATCACCTGAGTCCAACAGGTGGAGGCTGCGGTGGTTGTCAGCATGCCGCTGCACTCCAGCCTGGGCGACAAGAGTGCAATAGTGAGAATCCAGCTCAAAAAAAAAAAAAGATATATGTTTTTACTGATGACTCAAAACTGTCATTATGAAGATCTATTTTGTTGTAATAAAACAGCAGGCAGTTCTTAACTGTTTATTCTATTGATGAAACACAATGCCTAGAACATAATTATAAGTGAATATGATACTCAAAAGATGCAGTTGTCCTTCTCCTCTAGCCCATAGTAAATAAATACTTCTTGGTTGAATGAATGAATGAAAAGCAATTAGAATTGAGGGCGTTCAATCTCAAGCATTCTACCAACTGTATACAGTATTTTCAGGAGGGAGGCAGCATTGCTAGCATTGTTACACTTGCAGAAATGTACTATGGATCTCTGAACTGGAGGCACGGGTGATCAATCTGTGGGTGGCAACTCTCCTTTCCAGCCTGAAGAATCCATATAAGCTAGTGACAGCTTGCTAAAATCCCTTTTTATTTCAAAACTGATTATAACCAAGTACAACCCCCACCCCCTCATCTCTTGGTTCATAGGCAGCACTAGGACAGCCCCTTCTGTATTATTTTGAATACTAGAACTGTGTTTGCCACACCTAGTGGCATGTTAACTGGCTGGTTGGTTGAACAAATGCAGGAATGAGAGATCAAAGTAGAAGTAAAGGAACTGGGCCAAAAGAAAGTGTCCTGAGATACATTAGTAAGCCTTTTTTCTTGAGAAATTAATGAATTGCTTAGAAGAGAATTAAAACTACTTTCAGTGATGATCTTATCATTTTAATAAGTGAATAGCCTCTCATTGTGCTTCTTTGAAGAGCACAACAGTCATTTGACTGTAAAATTTCTGGTATGTTTTGATAAGAAGAAGGAAAAATTATTATTTTAGGGATGGGCTACAGCTTTTGCCAGATAACCTAGGAGAATGGCACATTCCTTGTGGGGGAAAAAAGCGGACTTTGTTTAGAAGACATTTTAGTGGACTTTTTTGTTAGTTTGAAAGCTTGAAATCTTTAGGCAATGACTGAAGGAAAATAGCTTAGATTCCCTTGGCAGGATAAAGTAACAGAAATTTGAGAAACACCCTCTTTGGCTATGGTTGACAGGAGTAGGAAATAGAAGAGATAGGAGAAAGTTTTGGAATGAGGGAAAGAGAGGACACTCCATGACAAAAGGAGAAAGATGATCAGGAGATTGAGGACCCTTTAATAATAGTGATACGTAGACAATTTGAAGTTCTTTCTGCACTGTGCTGTAATTACCCTTTGTTAACCATAAACCTTTGATAAAGGAACTATGTCCTAATAACACATGTTGAGTGAAGGAGAAGGGGTAATTTTCTACACTTAGGGTAAACAGGGTATTGAGAAAATAGTCAGTTGCAGGAGGCAAGACCATGAATAGGGATTGAAAGCAGGGAACTGCTGAGAGTAGGGATTTGGAACACTGAGCTGACAGCAATGATGGTGGCTGATGGCAGTGACTTAGATCGTGGGTCAGAGACTAACTCAGGATTCTGTGTGACAGATGTGTCTCTTCTTTGGGAATCTACAGGAAAGTAGCCTGTTGGGGTGAGTACAATACTAAGGATCGTGCTATTATATGAATCATGACTGACTAGGAGGTAGACCTGTGGGTTAAAAAATAAAAAACTCACT